TCGGCGGCGCCCCAGGCGGCCAGCAGCTCGCGCGCGCCCCCCGCACCCAGGTCCCCCAGGCTGGCCAGCACCGCTTTGGGCCCGGGGCCCATGCGCGCCAGTGCGGCGGCGTCGGCGCAGGGCCGCACATGGCGCAGGAGGTAGGGATTGTCCTGCAGCCGGCCGCCGTGCCAGCACAGCGACTCGCTCATCCACTCCGTCTGCGTCTTGGCAAATTCCAGGGTGCTGGCGCCCATGGAGCTCAGCCAGGCAAGGGAATAGGGCAGGTGGTGCTGGGCCCTGGAGAACAGGAGTGAGGGGGTCAGGGGCCGAGGGGTGAGGCGGTGGATCTGTATTGAGGATTGGTTGTGATGGGCAGGAGAGCGCGCCCGGGGGGGGCTGCCGGGGATTAGGGTGTGTGGCAAAGCCTGCCTTGAGTTTGGAATTCCAGAGCAAGGGCACCCAGGACTCCGCATCCCAAAATCCCCGGCACCATCCCCCCGCAACCCCCGCATCACCCTCACCAGTGGTGTTCCAGGAGCAGGAGCAGTTCAAGGACTCGGCCGGCGGCGTCCACGGGGATGAGGACATTGCCTTCTGAGCGCAGTGTGGCCACGACAGCTTCCAAAAAGTCGCTGGAAAAGGGTGGGCAGCAGAGAAGCGTGGGTCTACGCGTGAGCAGCCAGCTAAGCCTGCCAGACTGGGGAGCTTGAGTGCTTTGCCAGGATTGCCCTCCCTTGGATCCCACCACCGCCCTCCCACCCCCCCCCCCCCCCCCCCCCCCTCCCCCCTGCCTCCCCGCAGCGCAAGTGCGACGCCTACTACCGCGCGCAGCTGGAGCGGCGCTGGGAGCACGGCAGGATCGAGGAGTACGAGAGCGTGGACAACGCCGATTTCCACGTCGGCATCATGGGGCTGGGCGTGCTGGGCGGCGCCCTGGCCGAGGCGCTGCTGCGCAACGGCTACCCCGTCAGCGCCTGGACGCGCTCGCGCCGCACCGAGCCCCGCTTCCCGTGCCACGCGGGGCGCGGGGAGCTGCCCGCCTTCCTCTCTTGCGTGAACGTCCTAGTCTGCCTCATGCCCATCACGGCAGAGACGGAGGGCATGCTGAACGCCGACCTGCTGCGCCTGCTGCCGCGCGGGGCCTACCTCATCAACGCCGGACGTGGGGCCATCCAGGTGGAGGCAGACCTGGTAACCGCCCTGGATGAGGGGCAGGTGGGTGGCTGTGTGGATATTTTGGGGGCCCTCTTGGCGACGAAGGTGCTGGGTGTGGGTGTTGTTGCAGACTGCGCAAGGGAGAGGAGGTCGAAAACCTGAGTAGCAGGGTTCCAAGATCTACACTATGCCCCTGGTCCCCGGCCAGTTGTACCGGGCAGGCTGACCACCATCTCCCATCAGACACCCCTGGCTCCCTCAATCCATGCACACAGCTGGCGGGCGTGGTGCTGGACGTGTTTGAGCGGGAGCCGCTGGAGGAAGAGTCGCCGCTGTGGACGCACCCAGGCGTCCGCGTGTTCCCCCACGTCTCCTCCTTCACGCCCAGGGACGCCGGGGTCAAGCAGGTGCTGGAGAACTGGGCACTGGTCAAGGCCGGCAAGGAGGTGCCCCCGGAGCGGCACATGCAGCGCCAGAGGGGGTATTGAGGGCGAGGCCTGGCAGGGCATGGCCTGGAGGTTGGGGGGGGGGGGGTGATCCCGCATCCCGTGTTGACGGCACCAGAGTCCGTGCCCCGGTGCTGCCTGGTGGGACTACGACACCAAAGCACCCTGCATCCGGATGCACATGTGTGACCTTGTCTGCTTCCTGTCCATTGTTTGCCTTGTGTGGATTGCTGAGCGAGTTTGCAATGGCAGTTTGGGCTGATGGCCCTGCCTCCCATGCACGCTATAGATTCGTTTTACTCCAGGATGTGGGCAAACCTAAGAAGCAGGAGCTAGATGCATGAGTGTATTGCCATCCGGCCAGCTGCCGTTGTCCAGGGGGACCGAACTGGTCCTCAACTCCAGGCTGACACCCTTGACTGTGTGGCATGCTGTGTTCCCAAAAGAGGGCGGCTGTCACAAAGTGGCGGAATGGGGATAGAACAGAAGTTGTCTGGCAAGGTGTGAGCCAGAGAAGGTCTCTGTTGCACAAGTTGGGCCTCAAGCGGTGCCCCATCCGACGGCCATCCCGCCGCTGCCCAGCACTCCGTCGGCCTACCACGCCTCGTCCGCGCCAATCGCATCGGTGTATGCCGTGCCCTGGGCCATCACCTGCCCGAGTACATCCCCCTCCGTCAGCAGGTGGAGCGGGGGCGGGGGGGCGTCGGGCGCCGGGGCCGGGCCGGCGGCGGTGATGCGGTATGCGACTGCCGTCAGCGGCGCGCTCGCAGACTTGGCCACCTGGACGTACCTCGACCCTGGCGGGGTCGGTGGGAGGAGGTTGAAGGACCATCAAGGGTTCTGGGTGGAAGGGCGGGGTTGGACACCGGTCTGAATGCTCAGAACAGTGCCTCAGACTCCTGCGCTCATGACCGCCCACTGGCCCAGCGGACACTGGCGACCTCGGGGACCCCCCATCCCCCCCCGACCCCTCACCACCCTCCAGCTGGTGGAGCATGAGGCGCGTGTTCACGGCGTGCGCCCACAGCGGGCCCAGCGCGGCCGCCACGCACCCGCCGCCCGCGCCCGCCACCTGGTTGGTGACCAGCACCGGGATGCCGCGGCGCCGGGACAGGGCCTTGAGTCGCGCCGCGACGGCCGCCAGCTGCTGCTGCCGGGCAACGACGCCCTTGACCCCGGGGCCGTGGTCGAGGCGGGCCAGCTGGGCGACGCTGTCCACGAGGACGAGGGAGAGGGGGAGGGGGCTGGCCTCCAGGGCCTGCAGCCGGGCCAGGAGCTCGTGGGAATGGCGGGGTCGCAGCACCAGCACCGACTCCAGCAGCCGCTCCTTGTCTCCGGGGGCTAGCCGGCCCTCTGGACTACGCTGCCGCGCAATCTCCTCCAGGCTGCGTGCATGTGGGAGGGTGGAGTGGGGCGGGTTGGTGGGCTTGGGCATGCCGAGGATTCGGCCTGGGGAGGGTACGTGCTCATCGGATGGATGGGAAAGTGCGATCTTCTATGACTACTCTGCACGAGACTGTTGATCACACAAGGATGTCAGGGATGGGGATCTGGAGCGCCGTGGCAGTGCAGGCCATGCTGCAGCAGTCTGCTGGTACCCACCCAAGGCAAACTTTTTGGGAGTCCGATCAGAGGGCAGATGTGCATAGCATTACAACAATGGTGCAGGACCCCATGACAAGCAGCAGCAGAAAACCTCTCAGCACCTCACCGAAGAGAGCTGAACTTCTGCTCTGTGTCGATGTACAGGACCTGGGCTCCAGCGAGGATGGGGGGCGAGCAGCAGATGTCTGCCGCAGCCGCCAGGCAAAACTGTGGAGCGAGGAGGGGGCAATGGAGGATGCAGTTGATCTGGGTCGCATGGGGAACACTTTTCACCTGCTGTTCCCAGCGGCCTCCCGGTCAGAAATTATTTGAACCCAGCAGGAAACCACGCAGTCTATCAATCGGACAGAGTGACTGAGCGAGGCCTCCTCCAACTTCAGAGAGATTGCCTCCCCATGCCAGGCACAGCCTGCATCTCCTGGTCTCCCGGTTCGTCTCCACACCTGCGTTTTTCCCAGTCCTGCAGGAGGAGGGCCGGGGATTGCATTCAACCTTGCCAATGCACTTGATGTCAGCATCCAACGGCAAGGGGGATACAACCCTCTTCCTTGTACAGCCCACAAGCAGTGTGATGCAGGGCACCTGCTCACCCGCTGGCCCCACGATCTCGGTAACGCTGCCGCATGGGAAGCCGCCATGCAGAGCACGATCCAGGTCGGGAAGACGCGTGGGCAGGGGGTGCGCTGCGTCGCCCTGTTGGCGCAGCATGGCGCTGGCCTGGTGGGAAGGGTGGCGGTGGCTGGCTTTGGCGGGGAAGGCCCGGGAGGCCGGCCTGCAATAGGCGTGTCCTGCGGCAGATCATCATCCCTCGACGGGCTTGCCCAATGACCCCCCTCCCCTCACCGTTACCAAGGGTGGGGCGGTAAGCTGCGCCACCTGCTCCCGCAGGCGCTGGACTACATGGTAGGGCACGTCCAAGGACTCTACCAGGTCAAGGGTGGTGCGCGTGTGGAAGTCGTGGGCCGTGTGAATGCCCGAGGCGTTGAGGCGAGGTTGCAGCTCGCCCAGCAGGCCGGGTCCGGTCAGCAGGCAGCGAGCCTGCATGGTGTGAGTGTCGGGCAATCTCGAAATCGTTTTCAACGTAATAAGAGCACATGCATGTGATTTTGGGCCGTTGGACCTGGTTAAAGCACACCATGGGCGTCGATGGCCCCTAAGAATCTCAGCGTCCGCCCACGGGGGTGCTCCCCCTTCGCATGTTTTGCAGGCCCTTCTTTTGATTATTGTAAGTAGAATTCATAGTGACGAGCATGACATGGCAGCCTAGCCCAGATCACATACACGCTGAGGCATGGCAGCCCGCCTGTCACATAGAGGTTTGTACGAGGGGTCCGACGAGTTTCCTTTTACCACCCAGCCACGCACATCGACAGCGACACACCACTCCCCTAAGAGCACCAGGAAGAAGATTGGCCCGGGGTGCATTCATGCTTGTCCTTGTATATTGCCTCGGAAGCCTGTACTCGCTCAATTCTAGGTAAACATGAAGCTTGTTCCCATTAGATATGTTCTTCACACGTCCAAGTCTGCCTGCGGGTTCAGCGAGCCCAGTGCAGCGAAGAGAAGCGCAGACACCAGCTGCTGACTGCTATCGGATAAGGTCTAATCCTTCTTGGCTGACACCTATGCTCCATGTATTGCAGAATCAGGCGGGGATCTCTTCCTTCTCGAGGGTAGTAGTGTTCAGGGACTGCTGGATGGTGTCGATGGTCGAGTTGAGCTGCGCAATCTGGTCTGCCAGGTTCTGCTTGGAGGTCTCTGCGTGGTTTTGGATGTGGGGGCCTAGATTTGAGCATAGCCAACCATGGTGCCAGCGCGGAACACAGCACCACAGCCCGAGATTCCCCTCCTCCACCGCCACATCCACAACATCCAAACCCCTCCCCCCCTAGCATTCTGTCCCGCTCCAGCCTCACCTGGGTCCACATCCTGCTCCTCCAGGAAACGTGGCAGGCGCAGCTTCTGGTCTTCTCCCAGCAGCGCCTTGGAGATCTAACGAGAACGGGAGAATGTGATAATGTGAGGTGCCCGCCATGTATTAAGCTGCAAGGCGGGCGTATGGAGATATGATACTTGCAGCCAGACACCGCAGAGGTGCCTCTTGCTCCAGGTATGGCGTCTCACCTGGGGTGCAAAAACGTAGCCCAGAGCCCCAAAGACTGCGCCCCCTACGAAAACGCCAGACCAGAAGCCGCCGGCACCGTCCCTCTCAGCTCTGGGAGAAGGGATGTGCGATACATGTTGGATGGCTATTGAAAGGGGTATTAAAGGGGAACAACAGCGGCCAGATAGGCATACCTTAAGTGACTGCCAACCCTGCCACCAGGCCCCGGTGCCTCGAGCATCATCCCGTTGCCGCCACGCTCATCTTTCGGCTCGCCCACCTTGAGACAATATGGGACCTTCGGGGGGCGGGTGCGGGCCTGGAGAGCGCGGCGGGCCTAGCGCCGAAGACGTGGGACTGCTTGCGGAAGCCTGCAGGGGTATGGGGTGGAGGGTGAGTGCCGCGACCCTCCGCAGAGGGTCAGCCACACCGGCGAGCTTCCGCACCCATCCACCATATCCACTCACTCAGCCCGGTGGAGGGGCGGGCACTTAGGGTCTGCATGGAGCTCTGCACAGTGACAACCGCAGATCACCGGAAAGGGAAGCGACGAGACCAGGGATCCCTGGGCTGGGCAGATTTTCAGTTTGGGTAATGCCTCTGACACCAGTATGAGCCTTTGGGATGGTGGACACGGAGCTGATACCGCACTGCATCCTGCCAGATTGTCGTGCGTCTCGGGCGAGCAGCATGCACGCCGTGAGGTGCCGACGATGATGATGCTCCTCCCATTATGATGTCGCGGGTCCCCCCCGCTTACACTCAGGTCATGTTGGTTCTCGGCTTCAGATCCATTCCATCGGACGGAAAAGGGTCCTGGAGATTGTGCTGCCTTGCGAGTCGGCGTGGTGCTTTGCCGCCTGCGTTCAGCTGCATCCCCCCAGCGGTGCTAGGGGCCCGGGAGTTCACCCGCAGGCTCACCCCAGCATCCCTTCGCATGACGGCGACACAGAAGCCCTCCACCCATGTGGATCTGGATGAGTGCATGCGGGTGGCACTGGAGGCGGCAACAGCGGCTGGCAGCATCATCAGGGAGGCCTGGGACAAGCCTCGCCAGGTCCACCTGAAGAGTGAGCTTGGGCTGTGGCTGTGGGAGGCTCCCAGATGATGGATCCGGTGTGGTATGCCTGCCCCGCGACACCTATAGTACGCGCTCCGCGCAGCCAGCGTGGATCTGGTGACGGAGACGGACAGGCAGTGCGAGGAGGAGATATACTCCCGCCTGCGGGCCGCCTTCCCCGACCATGCGTTCATTGGGGAGGAGGGCTCTGCCAGCCAGGGGTTCACCGCGGAGCTCACAGATGCCCCCACATGGCTGGTGGACCCCGTGGACGGTGAGTCAGCGATTTCGTATGGGTATGTGAGGTGGGGCCGTGCTCACTCGACAACCAACCCTGGTCGATGTCTGGCCACCACGCACTGCTGTTGGCGTGTGGACTGGCACGTTCTTTGTTGTGTACGTAGGGAACGGCTACTGCGATCAACATAATTACCTGCCTCAGGCCCGGCTCGCAGCTGCATGAAATGCGCCATGCCCCTTCCAGGCTCAAAGTGCGCCCATGATTCCCCTGTTTCCTTCTCGGAACTCTCCCTCTTCCCCCTTCCCTTCTTGCATACACAAAGGCACGACCAACTTCGTGCATCGCTACCCCTTCACCTGCGTCAGCATCGGCCTGGCGGTGGGCGGCGCCCCCGTGCTGGGCGTGGTGGCCAATCCCATCCTGGGCGAGGTGTACCGCGCGGTGCGCGGCGGCGGCGCTTTCTTAAACAACGAGCCCATCCACGCGTCGGCCACCCCGGACCTCCAGTCGGCGCTGTTCGCCACGGAGCTGGGCATCCGGCGCGACGACGCCTTCCTGGACGCGGCCTTTGCGAGGATCAGGGAGCTGCTGCGCGGCGCGCGCAGCGTGCGCTGCGGCGGCTCCTGCGCCCTCAATCTCTGCAGCGTCGCGCAGGGCAGGCGCGGCAGGCGGGGATCGGCAGTGGCGTGGTTATGTGTGGGAGGGGGGGAATGGAGGGCAGGGCCTTGCCATTTCGGTGTTGCACTGGTGGTGTGCATTGACCCACCGTGATGTTTATTGCTGTGGGGTTCAGGATCTTCAAGCTCACCTGAGCGCCGCACGCAGCCC